ATTAATTAATATTAGACTCACAAAATTCTTGACAAAATATAGCATCATAGCAAAAAATCAATTTGGTTTTCAACGAGACTTATCGACTGAAAATGCTGTACAGGCTCTTACAACGCTAGTAGTAAAAGCAGTGGATTCTGGGAACAAATGTTTGGGAGTAATGCTCGATCTAAAGAAGGCATTCGACACAGTGTCGGTGCCCATCCTGTTAAATAGACTAGAGGAAGTAGGGGTGAGAGGTACTCCTCTTAAATTATTCAAAGATTATCTTACTAACCGAAAGCAGCGTGTTCGAATAGGCAACCACACTAGCCAGGAAGCCACTTTAACATTCGGTGTCCCACAGGGGAGCGTGCTGGGACCAACGCTTTTCCTGGTGATTAAAAATAATCTCTGTCTTCTAAAACTATCCAATGGTACTGTATTTTCTTACGCAAATGATACAGCTATCGTGTTCTCTGGCAAATCCTGGTGTGAAGTAAAACTATCGGCAGAAAATGCCCTGGCAAAGATAGCATCCTGGTTGGACACAAGCCTCCTTACCTTAAATGCAGCTAAGACACAATATATCTGTTTCAGTAAAAACATCTCAACTCAACCCCCATCAAATTATAACATAAAAATTCACAAGTGTGGTGACCCGCCTGATGCTGACTGCTCGTGTACTGGAATAGATAAGGTCGCTTATGTTAAATACTTAGGGATTCTCGTCGACCAGCGTCTTTCCTGGCACCTGCATGTAGAATTGACCATGAAAAGAGTGGGAAAGCTGATCTGGACTTTTAAAACTTTACGTCACATTGCGAGTAAAGAATTACTTACTCAAACATATGTTGCACTCGCCCAATCCATACTGGTATACTGCATATCAGTGTGGGGCTCGGCTGCTAAAACTTCTCTACTATGTCTGGAACGAGCTCAAAGGTTGCTGATAAAAGTAATGCTTCTAAAACCATATAGATACCCCACTGAAAATCTTTACCGGGAAGCTAATCTACTATCAGTTAGGAAACTATACATATTGGACACTGTTCTTAGAATTCACAAATCTCTTCCCTTTGATGCTAAGTTGCTAACCAGGAGAAGAAACTATAAAATTGCTGTAATTCCCACAGTAAAATCAGACTTTGCAAGACGACAGTACTATATGCAGTCTCCCTCAATCTACAATAAAATAAATAAGTATCTTAACATATTCCCCCTTAATAAAAAAGATGGTTTTGAATTGGCTAAAATCAAAAAGTTACATTGAGACAGAACTGATACTTAAAAACTAACACACACACACACACACACACACACACACACACGTACACACACACACACACACGTACACACACACACACACACAACCACACACACACACACACACACACACACGTACACACACACACACACACGTACATACACACACACACACACGTACACACACACATACACGTACACACACGTACACACACGTACACACACACGTACACATACACACACACACACACACGCACGCACGCACGCACGCATACACATACTCACACACACACGCGCGAGCAGAAGAAAGTTAAATAAATAAATAAATCTAATATAATACGTAAACTTATAATAATAATATATGAAATTGCTTGTTTTAGTGTATATTCGTTGTAATTTAGTTTTTATTTTTTTATTTTTATGTAACTGATATATAAAAAGAGCGGTTCTTCCTAACACAGGAGATGTTTTGCCTAAAGGGGAGTTCCCACAACTAATATTTGTAATATACTAAGTTACTGAAATAAAAATATTTATTATTATTATTATTATACGTAAAAATCAGCTGGGAGAATTAACTTGAGGTAAGTGATGTTTTTACCTACCTTGATTACCTGATATCTGGAAAATGGCCGTTTGGCCAAGCTAGCAGGTAAGCATGCGATCATAGTACATAGTAACACTACTCAATCTTACACATTTCGTTCGTCAGAAATATTTATTCCGTGCGGGATTCAAATACGCGGACTTCGCAGCGAAGCAGTCAATGCGCTACCGAACCGTCATAAATCGTATTATAGCAATGGCGAAGCTAGGGCTCCAACTTAGATCAAGCCCAAGATATGATTTTGTAGTTTATAGCACTTTTATAAAAATACACCAATCTTGATCTGTCTCCCCTCTTCAGTTTCATATTCAGTGCTGTCGAGGACGTGGTTAACAAATTACACAGAAGGCATACCACTGCTCGATAGATTGTATGACATATCAGCAATTGCATACCTTCGGTGGCTTTCAAAAAAGCCGTTTGGGTTTGCTTGAGCGAAAGATAAAGATATTTACATACAACACAATACATGAACAAAAGAAAAGCATGAACAAAGTACAAACAAATAATGTACAAAATTAAAAAAACAAATTATTTATATTCTAAATCGAATCGTCTCTTTCTTAAGGAAATATTTGATTACGTCGTTGGTGAAAACGTATGCATATATATTTCTCAACAAATTTTAAAGTTTTTACCTTTTCCCTCGCCGATTAGCACTTTAACACACTTCAACTTCATCACAATGAACAATATTATCCTCCATTTTCACAAAAAATCTTTAAAAAAAAACAAATTTTCAACTCGCAATATTCGCTTGCCTAAGAAAACGTTGAAATGTGAAGTGAACTTGCAAGCGTTGCCGCGCCCCTAACTTCAGACCAAAAGCCCGGCTTAATAGCTCCATACTAATTGGTATATAGTCGTAATTATATTTCACTATAGAACATTTTGCCACAGGTTAGAAAGTGAGCGATCGTCTTCTCGAAAACCCAGTAAAAAGCCCACGCGTGCGAGAGAGACGACTAATCGCTCAACTCAACTCCTTTTTTATGACAGCTTTCATTAATTTTGACAGTACATTGCGTGTTCGCTTTGAGACAGAGAGAACATGAATCAGTGTATTTGGTATTGAAAGCAATCTGCCAAGTGTTGACGTTACATAATAAGGCTACGAGGTGACCTGTGTAGAACAGAGGAGCGCGTGGCAAATGTGAACTAGTTTGAAACAGTACGAGTTATTTTATTAGTTGATATTATTGATTGAGCAGTTTGATAGGGCAAGCCCGGCTTCTCGGAGTCTATGGAGGCTTCGCTACCGTATTATAGCTTTGTATTCAAAATTATAAAAACATAAGTAACCGTCTTATAGTTAAGAGACTTGCCATAACATTTCCAATTTGCCAAAACAGATATTCTTTTTGTAAGAACCTGATTAAATGCTTCTTAAATTATAAAAATTTATATAAGATTTGCATTAAAACACAAAATATCACAATAAAATATATTTTATTACAAAAATACAATCTCAATAGAGATTATAATATTATGTGTACACGACAAATATTTAGTTAATAGCTTTGAGTACTGATATCAATAACATCATTCTAAATGCTACAAAACAACAGGTTTGTACTTGACGATGTTAAACAAGGTGATAACATATTACAATAAAATTTAAAAAAAAAAACAGAGTCAAGTTCAGACACATTTAAGGAAATATGTATACGTTTTCATTACGCGAAAAAGTTACTCCTTGGCGCTGAATACAGCGACCAAAAATGTATTAACCTTCCGCTTCAAAGAAAAATTATATTCGCTTTGATTTCGAATTAATTATAGCACGATACAGCACTTTCATTTTTGTTATTGCACAGAGCACCATCGTTATACGATATTAATTTTAGAATGAAGATAAATTCAACATATAGGACTAGAAAACTGAACTTATGCAGACTGCATAATTAGCACATATAAGAGTAATCAATATTTTTTCAGGATAGGTACAAGGGGGCACAGTGAGAGGCCATAATCTGTTGAGACACCGCTGACAGCATTGAAAATTTTTGTAATAGGCTTTCATGTTTAGACCATTTCTAGCTACGCCCATGTTAATCACAAACTGTTAATTATTTCGGTATGTTTAATTTCATGTTCCACGAATGTAAACAACGAAATTTGTCATTGAAATAATATGCGTGAAATGTATTTTTTTTTTTAAATTCAAGTGGCCAAATATTGTTTACTTTCGCAGGAAATCAATTGGAACAGATATCTTATTTTCTTTTTATTTGTTCTCATGAAGATTAACTACTTGACGTCATCAACAATCGCAAATTATTAACAAATTGGCACAATTTGAAGAAAATATTCCAAAAAATAATTAATATCTATTTTTTTTAATTTTGATTATTTAACATACAACTTTAAAGTCCCTTAAGGTTGAATTTATAACAAACATTTATATTATAATGATTATTACTAAAAGTTAACAACGGTAGAATAAAGACATAAAAATGAAATTATAATATTATCTATGTTACTTACTAAATTGTATTTGATACTACATTCCAATTTTTATTGCAGGATTGTGTTAACACCACCCTGATAACTATTTACTGACTTAGTCCAATAATTAAAAAAGATTAATTGTCTTAACAGTATTTTCTACCTATTCAGCTTAAGGTTTTGACCAGTTTTTATCACATTTCGAATTAAAACCACGTAGGTACGTTAAATTTTGTTTTCATCTTTAAGTTCATTGTAAAACACCACACAACACCATGAGGTGCATTTCGGTAATTACAGTGGTGAGGAAGGTGTTCCAGCCTAGGTTACTCGCGTTCTCTAATAAACTTGTACTCGACCCGATTCTAGATTAACATGGCTGCTTAAGAATAATTAAGTATTTAAAATTAATGAAGAAACACGTTGATTTTATAACATAATCGCCGTGTTGTTATATTATATATATAATAATAATAATATCACGTATAACATTGACGAGCTAAAAATAGAACACTTTTTTGGACGATTTTCCGAAACATTAATCAAACGTAAATATATCGAATATTTTACTACTTCTATGATTAACAGTTTCTAAAGGAGGGAGATCTTATCTCTACTTTCCCTGTCACATAACTTTGAGCAATGTAACTACCCCAATAATATCCTTAAATAAGTAGAAATATGCACGTAGATTTCATTGTCATTCGATATGTTTTCCATCTTTCCATTTTTTCTTTGACCGATCGAATGCTTCTTTTATACAGGCCCTGGTATGGTAAAAAAATATTAAATCACACATAATTAATTATATTTTTAACAGGGGAAAAGGAAAATTCACCTTCCAATCTAAACCATGTTGTACTCGAAATGTTAGTAAGGGAAATAAAATTAATTAATTTTGTAAGTTTCGATATATATCTTTTATCTCAAATAGCATCAATTATCATTTCCACGGCAGCAGTGACAAGGCTGAATCACACACACTAATAAAGTGAAGTGCACATGTGACGGTGAGTTAAACCTTTAAATTATACATCTCAGTTGCCATATTCTTGAAAACACCATTATCTAGCAGTGGATTTAAAAAGGCTGATAAAGAAAAAATAGAATGTCATTATTTGCATCCATACCTAAAGACTGACTGATGCAGTATGTAAGCAGACACGTGTCCAGCGTCGACATAGCGCACTTCTGCTCCGGGCCATATCTCTTCCAGTCGACCCACGTCCTCCCTAGGTACATATGCGTCATGTTTGGCGCACACAGCTGAATTACAATAGAAATACAGAAATTTGAGCTTTATTGAACTAGAATTTCAATCATGCTACGTAAATTGTACATATAAATCGTGCATTTATTAATCACGTGTCATTTCACATTAGCAACATTAGCTATTTTTATAAGAAACAAAGTTATTATTGTGTCATATTGTGTTTTTTTTATAGGATAAGGGTGACAAACGAGCACCCAGGTCACCTGATGGTAAGTGGTTGCTGTGGCCCATAGAAAATGCAGATGCGTTGTCACCCGTGAGGACTAAGATGGAATGCCTCGTTACCAATAAAAAGGGTCTCCGGTTCTCTACACTCACCATACGAAACACAGAAGCGTTAAGCTGCCATTTGACGCTGGTATTCTGTGAGAGCGTGGTCCTTCCCCGGTCGAGCCGACCCATTCGTGCTACAACCATAATATAGCTGCAGCATGGCTCTACCACGAATAAACGTGTTATATGTATCAGCATTTTATGAATTTGTGAATTGTTTTATAGATTTATTTTTAACTTTGAAAATATGCGTTTTGTGCTTATTTAGCAAAAAATGGCGATTGTGACATTTTTAATGAACAAACAGTTAGAATAGGTTAATAACAGATAATAAATATTATATTGAAAGGAGACAATTTCTTTTTGTATGGAGAATGGGCCCACCACAAATTGTGGCGTAACTTAATGAAATGCATGTCGATTTATTCCTTATAACCTATAGATTACAAAAGTAGTATTAGTTTTACCGTATTTAACGGGAATACTGAGAAATTAACAATGTAAATAGGCTTCAGTATAAATAATAAATGCCAGCCGTGACGCCACCTTTTAAATAAAATATGTTAAAATATTAGGGAAAAGTGCTTTGAATGACTGTGAGATGGCGCCAGTAGCAACGTAAAAAGCAAGCTACTGAGGACTTTTATACCCCTGGCTATACCTAATGTTCAAAATATTATAGTATTTACAATAAAATAACAACTGATTTTTTTAAATTTATTGAAATAATCAATAAATTATATTAGTGCCGGCAGTGGCGCCATCTCTTGAACCAAATGTATAAAAATTGTGTAGTAATTGAAGGGACGCCCTAGACGAAGGTTTATCGACCAAATCGGCGATACATTAAAAATGGGCCAGATTAGGAGTACCCTTAACCGACGAGCGTGTATGCGTAGATATATGGATGTAAAAGAGGCGAGAGAGGTGTGTCAGGATCGCGCCAAATGGAAGTCCGTAGTCTCTGCCTACCCCTCTGGGTGACAGGCGTGAGTGTTTATGTTTTTTTTTTTTATGCTCTTGTCACCTATGAGATGGCGCTAGTATCTACAAAGCAATCTATTGAGGACTTTCATACCCCTTTTCTTTACATTCGCCGGAAGACGAATATCAAAACAACTTTTTTTTCAGATTTCACGATTCCGGTTGGATTTTCATAAAATCTTTAGGCGGTTTACTATTATAAATTGGTATCTTTTTTTATACGTAATAAAATTAAGTTATGTTACAATTTCTAGTGGGCCCAAAAACGACTGTCTTCTTTAATAGAAGTAACAATATTTCACATCATTAGTTTATAAAATAATTCATAATATGACTTCATGGGATATGTGCGTACGTACCAATAATCAGAGAGGTGTCATATGGCACCGAGAAATTGCTCAAATGGGTACACTCATCCATAATGCCTCTCATGAACTGCAAAGCTTCTCTGTCCCTCCAATGTATCTTTCCTATATCTATTTTCTTCCCCGATGACTTTAGAAACGGTAAACTTGTCCATAAATCCGAAGTAAATTCCGATACATTCCACGATTTTTTCTCTGGTTTACATTCTTTGTACTCAGTTTCATCAGAATGTTTACTTGTGTCGTAAACTTTTTCTTTATTTTCAGTTTTAGTACCATTGACTGAGTTATGCACGTGCATATTTGGCGATATCCCACTAAGTTTTTCAGTATTGATCAAATCTTTATTGCTGTCTGACTTCGTATCTCCTAGATGTTCGGTAAGTGATTTAATTGCAATACTTTTTACATGATCATCTAAAATAAAAACTTTCAGCATTAAATATAACAATAGAATATTATAATAATTACTCTAATAAAAATGTACAATTTAAAGAATTTAAGACATTTGATGTGCATTTACTAAATAGAACTTTGGTATTAGTAACGGAAGTTAAAAATAAAATTAAGGTATTTTGTAATGTAAATGAATGTCAGTGCAGTTTTTTAATCACAAATAAATAAATTATTTATTTTATGCAAAAAAAAAAATGGAAGCGGCCGACAATAATAAAACAGACTCGTAAGCGCCTTACCAACTCTATATTTGAGTAGCAAGGCTTTTAGTTCATTTTTATTTAATTTATTTATCTCTGATATATCTTGGGCGTCTAACTCAAATGTTGTATTAGAGGTAAGTTTATCACATAACGCCTTACTAATTTTATTTTCACCCTGCATTTTCCTTAACTCTTCACTTAAGCTTTCAGTATGTGTTACTTTAATAGGCACTTCCGCATCACTTAATTCTGCTATATTCTGATTCTGAATATTATTTATTCCATTTTTAAAATTTAAATTATTAGATTCCTTGTATGTTATATCCACATTTTTATTTGAATCGTTTTTCAGGTTGTTTACTAAATTCTCTTGTGTTTCTTCCTTTTGTGCATTCATTTGTGTATCTGTGTCAATTTTCTCAGAATATGTGCGAGCGAACTTTTTACCAGCTAAGAACGCCTCGTCTACTATAGTGACCATTTTGGATAGCTTTTCTCTGTAAACTCCATCTGATAAGTATTGGTCCTCAAGTAAATCCCAGTTTATCGAATGTGACATAACTCCCTGCAATGTTTAATAATTAATTGGTTTCATTTACTTACCTAATACGAATCCACCACCCAATTTTGTCTTGCGGGTTTCGTAGGAGGCGACTATGGGAAATTCCAGAAAGAAATTGCTTCCGATAGATAGCAGTATAACCATCACGTTTATGCCAGAGGTAAACTATCCAGACCAGTAAACAGCAGCGCCAGAGGTACAAGACGTCTGGTACTGCAATCGTCAATCCACCTGCAAAGCGTGACGATTAAGGCATATCCTCCCAAAAACGGAAGGCTCGTGTCCTGCAGTGGAAATGTACGGATTGATGATGATGATGATGATTCATACATAGACACATAAAGTACATAGTATCGATTAATTTTATAAAATTACCTTAACGTTTACTTCGATAAACAATCACATTAAAAGTTTTTAACGCATTGTATTTAACGTTTTTATTATGCGATATTTAAAATTAAACATTAGTATATTAACTTCCAGTATTCGGTAGATATATTTCTTGGAACGAAGTTCCATATCGGACGGTACGAATTTGGCGGATGGGAGCTAGGCGAGAAAGTGTAAGATTTTTCCGTTTTTCGACCCCTTCTGCCGTAGTGTAGACGGCCTTGGCGGCTACATAGGCTGCGCTAAAAGTATCGGGAATGGAATATTTCCACTGTTCCTGTCATATTAAAATCTTTTTAATTGAAAACTCCTTGGTTTTAAAAATCGAATACCATTTATTTATTTAAAAAAAGATTCTCGGTCTTGTCAAACTTGTTTAGTCGTTGAGAAAATGGAATTGACTCGAGAAAATTCAAGAGCGATGATTTATTATGATTGGTTAACGGAAATATATGAAGTGGTTTAACACAAAAACAGTGTGTTGACCCGATGATTTCTGCATTTGGTGATGAAGCCCCACCCAAAACCACAATTTATCGCTGGTTTGCTGAATTTCAACGCGGACGTGTCAAGATCAGTGATGATCCCCGTCAAGGTCGTCCAAAAACTGCAGTCACCCAAGAAAACGTTGATGCTGTGCGTAAGCTGTGACATACCGCGAAATTCAGGCAACTTTAGACATTGGCATGAGTCAAATACAAATAATCTTGCATGAACAATTAAGTGTAAAAAAGTTGTTTTCCCGATGGATACCGCATTCGCTCTGTGAAGAGCAAAAAGCGGCTCGCGTTACTTGGTGCGTCAGAACTCTCGAAAGTTTCCACGTAGGATCCTCAAATGCTGTATACAACATCGTATCAGGTGACGAATCCTGGATATAAGCGTACGAACCCGAAACAAAAAACCAGTCACGAGTTTGTTGTTTTCGAAAATGAGTTAAAGCCAACAAAAATTGTTCGTTCACGGAGTGTTGCAAAAAAAATGGTGGCCACGTTTGTCTCCAAAACCGGCCATGTGACGACTATTTCTCTTGAGGGACAAAGAACGGTTAATGCAGAATGGTATGCTAGCATTTGTTTGCCACAGGTCGTTTCTGAACTCCGTAAAGAGAACTGCAACCGCCGCATCATCCTCCATCACGACAATGCGAGTTCTCACACCGCACACAGATAGTGTTGCCCAAAATCGGTCTTGGTCTTGCAGTCTTGGTCTTGTTCTTGCATTTTTGCAAGACCAAGACCAAGAACAAGACTGCCTCTTTTTAGCAAGACCAAGACCAAGACTGACCGTGCAAGATTTGCGCAAGAACAAGACTTAGCTTGCGAGACTCTTGCGTCTTGCAGTTAGGACTAAGTGTCGTTTCAGGGAGTATAGGAGTTCGGGTATACGCTTAGGGACTCTATGAGACGCAAAAAATATAATGAAAAAAAAAATTGGAAAATTGGACTTATCCATAAATATACATAGCGAATGAAAATATCCATTAAAAGAAAAAAGAGTGCATCCCTAGTTTTGACCATCGGCACTTTGATGGTGCGCGGCGTCTTGTTGTCGGCGTCATCAAAGGTCGGATACTGACCTGTCAAAGAAATTGTGCAGCTATTCGAAAGTACAAGGTCAAGATACACGTGCCAGCGGCTACTATTGATATCGCATACAATCGTCGCCGCTGCGCCACACGCACTACATTTGACACTGTTTGATTGCCGCCACAGAGTACATGTTTCAAAGAATAAAATAAGTTTCCGGGTGCTCAGAATGGACACGAATACATTATCCTGATCTCGCAAGAAATCTTGTAATTAGATAATAGGTAGGTATCATAATAATTTATTCTAGTAAGTAATTATTATAAAATTAACTATATGGATTTATAATAATTACTTACTATTATTGTTATTATTATTACCTAAAAGATAAACATGTTCAGTAAGTTCACTGCAAATCTCGACTTTTGCAAGTGTGTGTTTTTAAAACACAAAGTGCTCGAATATGTCGTCACACATTTGATAAATATGGTTGACACCATAGCACTTTTAAAACACTTGAAATGTGTAAAAATGGATCTGGATCTTGTCTTCAAGGCTTTGTTATTAAGGAGTTGGAGGGGTACCTAGGTAAACCCAGAGCCGTCATCTCGGAAGACATTTTAGACTGTTGGAGGACGCATGAGAAAAAATATCCGATTTTATCGAAGGTGGCCCGTGATTTTCTTTTAATACCTGCAACTTCAGTACCTGCTGAGAGACTATTTTCTAAAGCATCATTAGTAATTAGAAAACATAGAAACAGGTTAAGTGATGAGTCAGCCAGATGGTTACTTTGTATTAATGCTTTGTCAAAAGAATAAATATAAAGTAACAGGAATGTCAAAGCTGTTGTGTACATACTGTGAAGTAATTTAATTTGCATCGTATTTTATTTTTTATTTAAATAAATTGTATATTGTATAACTCTTTTATTCCATTTCATATATGGTGAGGGTCCATCAATCTCTTTCTAGAAGAGATAATGTTATTTAAAATACAGTGTAGTTATTGCCATTAATTTGATTTATATGTATGTTTAACCATGTTTTAGCACAATTAAATGTATACGTTTATTAAGAAACTGACGCCCGTGGCCGTGGGACACGGTAGATCGCTCAGTTGGTTAGAGCATCGGCACGGATCGCTTAGGTCGTGGGTTCAAACCCCATCCGGTGTCAGTTGATTTTTCGAATTTCTCATTAAATGTTTAGACATTTATTAATATGGTTAATCTTTACTATGGCTATGTTAATTCAAGCTCAATATGTACCTACTCTGTTAAGTTGTTCTAAGATCTAAAGTAACGTTTAATAAATAGAAATAGGCTAATAGGTCATTGCGAGACTTGCGAGACTCTTGCTGCAAGACCAAGACCAAGACCAAGACTGGGAGCGCAATACCAAGACCAAGACCAGGTGTATTGGCGCAAGACCAAGACCAAGACTTGCTAAGTCTCGTCTTGTTCTTGCATTTGGGCAACACTACACACAGAACAAAAGAGCTTTTAGAGCAAGAAAACATAGAATTATTAGACCATCCGCCGTACAGCCCCGACCTAAGCCCTAATGATTTCTATACTTTCCCTAAAATAAAGAATAAATTGCGTGAACAGAGATTTTCATCACCTGAAGCTGTGGACGCCTACAAAACGGCCATTTTGGAGACCCCAACTTCCGAAGGGGATGGTTGTTTTGTGTTTGTTAATCAAAAATATAATACGTTTATCAATAATAATATACTACGAAAGGAACTTCGTTCCAACCGAGTGTTCCACGACACTCACACATGTTTTTTTTTTAATTGTTAATGTAAGAAGGACTTAATTCTTCTGTTGATTGTTTGCCTTAATATTTGGAATACAAAGCTTTTAATATGTTATTTATTATTTTAACGGATGATTTTAAATCATGTAGGTTGTTAGGATTAAATCATATAAGTTAAATTTGTGTTACAAAATAACCTTACGAAAATATTATATCACATGCAACATATTTTTTTTTATAATTGTTGTTATAATATTGTTAAAGGCGTTTACAAATTATGATTGATTGTACAACCTGTAGGAATACAGCTGATGCAGTAGACCAAGAGAGACAAGGAACAAGCACCATAGGTTTTGGCCAATTTGTTGCTGCAAGTGACGCCATCTTTAAAACATTATGATTCATAAGTTTATATAATGTGTAATTTATGTGATTTTTAATAACTAGTTTGCGTTATATTAAAATAAATAATTGATTATTTTTTGCAAGGTATCAGATAAGCTTTATGAGTTTATATACTAACATGTCCACCCATAGAAAGTCCGGTAACGCCTAACGGGCCGAGTCCATTACGTTCACACCAATGAAAAAGCACCAGCGATTCCAGAATCAGACATCCTCCCATCACAAAAATGTCCGACACGTTATGCAGGGAAGATCGACTGGAATTAATGGATTCGTTGGTTACGACTACTATTGTGTTATTACAATGAACATTCGCACACTCAAATTTTATATTGTATAAAAATATAAAGACAGGTTACATGATGGAGTCACGTCATAGTTAATTCGATTGAGTGAGTTGGGACAAGTACTATGGGCTATTCGATCTATCTAGCCTTGCTGGATCGGGTATTTTACATATGGTATAAATATGGGATAGATACTCCGTCATCTGTGGCATGAAATTAGGGCTTTTCTCCGAGTTGACATCCACGGGAATACACCATGTTGCGGTGTAAAAATATGCAAATTTTATCACATCTTTTTAATTTGAAATCGCCGCACTATCTATTTTTTTAAGCCTGCGTTCGACTATTATCTCACCAGCAGTGCGACTGTGCAACTTTGGTGAGAATCGTGAATGGCTTCTTTTTGACGTTTGGTATCATTGTGCATTGTACGTTTGTATCATTTTAGATTATTATATTTCGATGTCTTTTCAATATGAATTTAATTAGGGTCACGAAATATTATTACATATTACTACAATTAATTAACTATCTATGCTAGTAGGTCAGTTCGCCTGGAGAAGAACTATGCTCTCACAGAATACTATTGTAAAATAAAAGTTTAATAATACTGTGTTTGTATGGTGAGTGTAGAGAATAGGAGACCCTTTTTACTTCAAACGAGGCCTTCCATCTCAGTCCTTAGAGGTGAGTGACAACGCAGATGCGTATTTTGATTCTTAATCAAAGATAGATGTAGATGTCGATAGGCCACAGCATCAATTTACCATCAAATGGACTAAGTGTTCGTTTGTTATTTTATAAAAATAATGTGTTTGTGAAATTAATTCCATCGGGAAACGATTCCCACAAAGTCACACAATTTAAAAAAAAAAAGTTACCCCCACGCTAGTATTTTCTCCTGTATCGTGGAGGCAGTTTACAAACATAAATTGCACAAGGACAAACATCCAGACCCGGAACAATTATCTGTAGGCCATACAAATACTTGTTCCGTGCGGGATTCGAACCCGCGACTCCCAGCGCAACAACTCATTGCTAAACCACTGCGCTACGCAGCCGTCAGCAATTGAACTGCTGATGGCAAATGGTGATGTAGCCGAAGGAGAAAGACGCTCTGACTAGCTTGACAAGATTCTATTCAATTCTGCGTTGAAGACACCCACATTGAGTTTAGTAAACAGGCGCTGGCAAAAAAGTATTTCACACATCTTCTGTCTACTTTACGAACAATGTAACGAAACGTAGGGCTTGAAAGCGTAGTTATTTATTCCAGCTTATCAAAATGCAACTGTTATCAGTCACACAGGTTCCTTCCCTCATACAAGACCATCATTCAAAGTCGGCACTGTAAATTGTTCTTCACTCTCCCTGTTTTCTAATAATAAGATTATATCTTTGGTTTTGAAGGAATGCATGGCTCTGGAAAACTCCCCAATAGATCTCCTCTACTTCCTCATTAGTATGTGCCTAAGAGGCCTTGGTGATTTTGAGTATAAGGTTTGCAACCCTTGTCGACACCCTTCCAACCTTTACAACGTTGTCAACGATAGACTTGTGAACGATAAATGCGACACCTCCTTCGGACTCGTTCCCGGTGATAGAACAAGTTGCTGGATTCGAGGATTACTGTGTCCTCACCCTTTTTCCTCGTCATTTTCCTCTTGAACTTCTTGTACAATATCATCTTCCGTAGCCGGTGCACGAATTGCAATAGTTGTCTACATCAATAAACTCCTCTGCTTCATTATCAACACTGGCACCTTCACCACTCATTTTCCTGCCGACGATACCGTGCCGAGCCCAGAAACGTTGAATCCAACTAGACCAACAAACGAATTCTTCACCAAAACGCTGAGAAAAAATCGTTTGTTTTTTGTTGAAGAATTTGTCCATTTATTGGCACATTATTTGTCCTTTGATATTTAAACCACTTTAACAAAGCTTCCTCAATTTTCGTACGCTTCGTTGTTCTTGCTAGTTTCATTTTCAACAAATTGCAGTCAAAAAGTGTTTGAAATGTTTCTCTCTCTCTCCAAATGGTCGAAATTGTCGAGTGTGATACACCATATTCCTTTGCCAAGTATTTGTTTGGAATTTCGCTTTCTAGCTTTGATATAATACGCGATTTTTCTTCAATATCGATTTGTTTTGTTTTTCTTTGCGACTCAACAACATGCTTTGGTGCGTCTTGTGTACGGATAAGTTACAAACTGATTGAATATATATGAGAAAGCGGGCTTTGATAATACTGGTAACATGTATTTTATTTTTAAGATTACAAAAGACCATAAAATAGACACGTTTCTGTTTACTTTTGCGATATTAATATATAACCATTGACCATTAAATTGTGTCAGATGTTGATACCGTTACCTATTTAAATTGTTTACAACAAAGCTGGTCGTTCTAACAAATACAATTCTCCGAAAATATTAGCTAAATAAAATTGCTTAATGAGTTATGTCGTATTAAGCAATGTCGTAAAAAGCAGTGTTTTTCATAAGGCGATCATATAACATTCAGCCGGGATCTATGATATTGGCCAATATAACGGGTATGTTGTTCTAAGCGATGTCGTCGTAAATGGTTTTAACTGTATTTCGAGTTGTTATCAAGAAGGTGCTGCTTTAGTAAACAGGCGCTGGCAAAAAGTATTTCACACATCTTCTGTCTACTTTACGAACAATGTAACGAAACATAGGGCTTGAAAGCGTAGTTATTTATTTCAGCTTATCAAAATGCAACTGCAAATGCAACTATCTTCTGTTACATTTTTCTATGACGTCTCATACGACACCTACGAATTGATTAGGAATATTGCAATAGTGGTTCTCGATAGTTCCGCCGAACGTCTGGATGTACAATGGTGAGATAGTCCAAGGAGGAGAGAGGTAAGAATTATTTTTGTAGAAAGAAAGTTTTCCCAAGAAGTTTCTTTTGACAAGAAAGTATAAATTTAATCATGTTTACAAGTACATATGTTTTTGAATTGTTTTTTTTTTTCAAAGTCAAATGCTACACGATCGCTTCAACAAGTACTTACTGCAGTGTGACAAGTAGACAATTTTTCTTTCAACATTTAAAATATATACATATTTAAGGAAATAAAGTCTAAGGAAGCTCATTATATTCATGCATTTTTGTCTCTTAAATAGTCTTCTGATTCATATTCTTTCTTTATAAGAATGCGTTTTACTAGCACTTAGAATTTATTCCAAAGTAAGTCAATATGACAGGGAATCTTGTTAAAAATATAAATACATCTACCCAAAAATGAGGCGCTTTTTTCTAAGTTATTGCCCACCCTCCAGTTTGATCATCGTCAGGCTATGAAAAGTTGCGACGTGGCTCTATCTTTATATATAAAAATTACGTGTCACGTTGTTTGTCCGCGATGAACTCCTAAAGTACTGAACTGATTTCAATGAAATTTTGCACACTCTGTGCAGTTTGGTCAACTTGAGAGATAGGATAGCTTTTATCCCAATAAGTGACCCTCAATTTTTTTATTGCTAATCTCAGGAGTGTTTTTTTTTAGGAAAGCAAATGGTCGTCGGAAAGGGCAGAACAACGTCTGCCTGGTCAGCTAGTTGTTTTATATATATATATAGTAGCAAATATAATTAGTAGCGGATATCTTTACTATCATCATAAGGCCACTATTGAATAGACTTTCATAATAAACTCAAACATGAAAAAATAAATTTCAAACTTACAGTAATACTAGAGAATTACTACATTTATTTTTGTAAAATCCTTAAGTTTTTATAATAGCTATTATAAACGGATAAGATTAAGAAGCTATACTGCAACTTAATTTGGCCGCAGCATGAATAGGCCGCCTCAACCAGAGAAGGACCACACTCGCACAGAATGCCAATGTGAAATAGCAGGATAATGTCAGGAGATATTTTTATCGGTAACACAAGGCATTCCATCTTAATTTTCACGGGTGACGATGCATCTGTATTTTGATTCTTAATCGAGGATAGATGTAGGTGTGCCACAGGTGGCCCACAGTATCCACTTACCACCAGGTAAGCTGTTTGTTACTCTTGCTTCAATAAAAATAAGTTATTTTATGGTACTTAAAGCGATTTAATATTTAGTTAGTTAATAGCATTGTCATTATTCAACAAATTGCACTACTTACATTTGATCTGTGGGCTTACGAAGTCCATAAAATGGATTCTCCAATATAATTCCGCCAATAGCTGCTTCTTTTAACAAAGGCTTCACCATTAGGTTTCTCCGGCGCCAGAAAAACTATTACAAAATAAAAATAAAAGAAAAAACACCCACATAGTTCATACGTAAGCAGTATTTACAAGATGTTACAATGAGCCAACAACTTTTAGGTTTTGTTAATAATGTAATAAGCAAACACTTGACAGTGGTAAAAGAAATGATAATTTCGACTAAGAATCAAGATATAGTTGCCTTGTCACAGCAGAGGGATAATACTTCAGATTAAAGATAAATAGATTTTCCACTGTTAAAAACCGAATCCTGATTTATTTATATTTGTCAATTTTTATGTTAACAAGTAAAAACCAAGAAAACTGGTCTGCAGTACTACAAAATGTGTCCTATGATAATTGCAAGATGAAAATGAATATAAGAGGCCTAGCTCTTCAAATACAAAGACACCACAAAACACTCAATAAAACAGTACAACTCCTTGAGTGGTTGGGTAAAAAAAACTGAAAAAAAGATGCCAAATGAACTGCAAGCAAAAACCGAATATCACACAGCACCAAACCAATTCATTATAATGATTTCCCCTGACCCACTCTTAATTGCTTAGACAGCATAATATGAAAGTTTATAAGCTACATAAACTGTCATTAATTATAATCCTTTATTTACTCATGTGTATGATGAAAATTTTCTGTGTAAACACAAGATACAAACAAGTATATTGTGTTTTACTCTTTATTTTTGAATGTTACTCCCATACTAGCATTTTTTCCTGTATTCAGTATCCAGTTTACATTCATAAATTGTACAAGGACAAACATCCAGACCCGTAACTACTATATGCAGGCCATACAAATATCTACTCCGTGCAGGATTCAAACCTGCTGCCTTCAGCTCCTCACCTCTTTACTAAGCTACTGTGCCACAGAGCAGTCAAATGCTGTAATTAGTTTAATTTCTTATAAATTATTTTCTAAAGATTAACTTTATAATATTTTATTTATCTGAGATGGTCAGCTAATCCTATCAAATATTGATGAGATTGTAAATATACAGTCCTGAGTCTTTCTATCCTTCAGACCCAATAGCTAATCTGCACACCATGAATAGCATTTAAGACAAATATTCCCATTCCCAATTGTGAAGGGGTTTTTGGACAGCAGTTGACAGTTTTCAAACTGATAATGATATTGATAATAATCAAAGAGTATAATAACAAAACTGTTGAGTGGTCAAGCCTCTGTGACTTTCTTAAAAAAATAAAGTCAAAAGCAAGTAAAAAAATGCAGGTTAACTTTATTAATAATCCTAATGAAAAATTACCAAACTTGAAAGTACCTCAAATTATTGGCAGGAAGTAGTGTTTGCTGTGGCGGAAACCTGTATACAAAGCATAGTGCTTGCAAGAAACAGTATAGGGATAGCTTATATTTCATGTTCATGTTTAGGGAGACCTATGTCCAACGGTAGCTACGCGGCTACGCTGATGGCAATAAAGCAAAAAAACTTACATCTATACAAATAAATAAAATTAAAGTGTCTGTTTGTAATGTCAAAATAACAGCTTTTTACTAAATGCATAAATGAAAGTATATACAATACTTAAAACAAAAACACAATTTTTAAAATTTTTGTCTGTTTGTATGTTCCTGCTAATCTCCGAAGCGGCTGCACCGATTTTGACGGAACTTTCACTGGCAGATAGCTAATGTTATAAGGAGTAACTTAGGCTACTTTTATTTTAGAGTAAGGATTAGGGTTCCGCACAAAAAAATTAAAACCAAATTACACACAGGCAAAGTTGTAGGGTAAAGCTAGTAAGAAAATATATTTAATTGTAAAATACCATACAGTTTAAATATATAACATAATGAGCATGAGCATTCTAATAAAAATAACAGCAGGTTAACAGCAGGTGTCATTGCAATTGGAGGAACTAGTGCATAAAGTGCAAATGGTCTTACTTATGGGTTTTCACACATTGAGTAGCATTTCTAGTCTAAAATATGCAATGAAATTAGGTATGTTTAGCTATGGTTTTAATATGATAAGTACATAAGTTGCTTATTATATAAAATGTTTGTTATAAGTTGATTTATTAATTTACATCACATGCCCTTTTGCAGCAGTCACTTTTTTGTATTAGTGACACTTTAATATTTCTAACATATAGATTTTCAAAAGATATTTTCTTCTTTTCTTGCAAAACATTTAATTAGAAATTCAAGACATTAATAATACGGACGGTAGCTATAATACTACCAATGTAACTGTTATTACTCATTTATAACAACTTGTGTTTAGATACACATTAAAACAACTATTTAACATTTGTGATAAATTATATTTAATATTTAAGTGTTTAAAAAAAATTGATAATGCTTAAAAGACTGTATGGTTTGAATTAAATTGTGGGCTTTATCTAAATTTCACATATACAAAAATCTAAACTTGATAATTTAGAAGAATTCAATCACAGCTTTGTAAAATAGTTTTATCAATTAAACTTACATGATCACCTGTACCAGCAAGATGTAAACATACTGGTTTGCAGCCTGGCTCAGGCCAATGTACTGGAAGCAGAGCTTGAAAATGAGCTTTCTGTGCTATTTCAGGCACTATCCCAGGAAGATACTTTTCCAGTGGTGTAAGAAAGTATCCCTCTACTAGCTTACAATCTGTGAGATTTTGTTCCTTGAAATATGCATAAAAACTTTATTATTGAAATATTTAAGAATAAAAAATGTAAAAGTATGTTTCTAGAAATTATACCATTGTTATGATTTAGAATATATATAATACCTTGGTTATAGTTACAGGGTAGTCCCTTTCAACTAACTTGAAGCATTCATCCCGATTTGATACTACTTTTCTGAATTCAAATAACCTAAAAATATGATAAGAGAAGTTGTAAACATGTTATAATAGAAAGGTATATACATGTGTTATATAATATGCGGTTGAACAGACATTGAATATTTGTTTACATTGTTGCTTACCTTCGCAAATTTTCTGGTTTGCCCCAACCTTTTGTGAAAAATTTGGTTAAGAGCATACTTCGATAAACAGCGTCTAATCTGCTAGCTGACATATTTTATGCGGTGGATGAATTTTTGCGGTTTGTTTGCTACAAACTTTTATTTGATTTTTTACGTATTTAGTTATTGATACATTTTTATGAGAAAACTACTTATGTACATATTTCAATTTGACAATGTCAACCGGGTAAGCACCATAGATATAAAAGGCCTTCTACACGGTCGGAACCAACCACCAACCGTCGTGACCTTGGTCGGGTCTATAGATAAGAGTGGTCGGGTCAAACGATTTTTGTATTCGTTCTACACGGTCGGGTGGTTGACTCAACTTGTCAGTTCCTTCCTTATATATTACTATACTCTTTGGTCAGTTCTCTCCGGTATTCAAAGCGTAAAGACGTAAGGTACTTTTAAATATGGCTCCTTGCTTTTCTAAACAACAAAAATCGTTTTTTTTTTATTAAAAAAACGTTGCCCCCACGCTAGAATTTTCTCCTGTATTGTGAAGGCAGTTTACAAACATAGATTGCACGAGGACAAACATCTAGACCCGGATCAATTATTTGTAGGCCATACAAATACATGTTCCGTGCGGGATTCGAACCCGCGGCCCCCAGCGCATCAACTCATTGTTAAGCCACTGCGCCACGGAGCCGTCAAAGGTTTAGCGTTAACGTTTCTGTGCTTGAGCAAAGATGAAAAAAAAAAGAAAATGGATGAAAGAGCGCATTACTTTAAACCATCTCAATATTTTAAGGATTGAAGACTTGAAGACTTTCGGAATTTTCTAAGAATGGATCAAGAAACTTTTAATGAATTACTTGAGATGGTGCATCCAATGATTACAAAAAAAAAACAGTTATGCGTCAAGCCGTGTCTGATGAAGAACGATTAATAGCTACATTAAGATTTTTTGCTACGGGAAGAATTTATAAAGATCTAAGTCTATCGTTCAGATCTAAGACGTAAGAAGAAGACGACTGCCAAGGGCGCAATGAGGTGCCTGCCGCCTGGCGCTCTCAACGACTCGTCGGCCGACAGCTTTCCACACGGTCTGCGTCAACCACGGACCCGACGTGTCGTGAGTGATGCGCTCAAGGATCTCCTAAGTGTGTGCTGTTTGAGGATTAGTAGTGGTCCCAAGCAGCCGCCGGTACGACATACTCCGCCAAGCGTCGAGTCCGCATACTCCGCGAGGCGTCGAGGTCACTGGCCCTTAGGTAGATTCTTGGCACTCAAGCGCGTTCCATGCCCTTGTGTGTCAGTCGCGTGCGCGAGTGCTCTCTAGCACTTCTCTCAACCCTTTCATTACGAAAGGGGTAGGCAGTGCTCCTAAAGTGTTGCGGTCACCCAACTTCGCTCCCGTCCATACCTCGCGGCGCGCATCAATTAGTTGTCAGCCTGCTAGGTAGGAAATTAGACGTAGACACAATCAGCATCAGCCAAAACAGAGTAACTACAGAATAGTTGTAACATGAAGGGCAAGGGGAAGGGGGAGCCCCCCCCACCCCCCGTGTTAGGAAACCCCCGGATCGCCCGGGTATTTTGGATCGGCCTCTCTTAGTTAGGGACCTTCAATATTCGGAGCGGTCTACAGTTGTGGCTTCATTCAGCCAGATACCCAGGTAGAAGCCTACGTCGTCGCAAGGACCCGCGTCGAGCGTCGCGCTCAAGCCCACCGCACCTGAGAGTGCGAGTGGGAAGGAACCGTCGCCCCAACCTCAGCGGGCGAAGAAATCGGCTAGGCGTCATACCCCCCCGGAGACTGAAGCATCACTCTACGAGAAGCGGCAAATGCGTAGGATCACCCAGCCATTCGGCATATGCTACGTCGTCGTCGGCATCGTTGGATGAAGATGAGAACTACAGACGAAGAATTAAGACACAGAGATCGCCACCAAAATCACCCAGTCCAAGCAAACCGATCCCCCCCCCCCCCCCCCGTATCCCCGGACCGTAGAAGCACTGTCGACACTGCCGACTACGAGGAAGGAGGTGAAGATCCGTATTAACCCGTATGGCTGGGGGTCCACTAAGTCAACCACTTACGCGACATTAGCTCCTTTCGCCGGAGGATCCCCCCCCCCGCGCCTGCTACCAACCCCTCTGGCCTAACTATGGACGACGGACAGAGGCCATCCACAAGCTACGCCCAACTGGTAGCTGCCCCGACAGTACCAGGATCTAAGTCGCCCGAAGCAACCACAAGACAAGGAGTAGCAACGATATCCGCCGATAGTTGCAGAATGCCTCCCGGATTAGACGAAGGTTTTTGAAGTGCTTAACAAGAAGCTAGGCCACCCGCCGAATGCTCGTCCGTCCGGGAAGGGTGTAAGATTCACCCCTCAGAGTCCGGAAGAATTCCGGACTATACAGAAGTACTTTGTTGAATTATCGGAGAAGCTGCCATCAATGTCGTGGTACTGCCACACCCCAGAGGAAGACAAGCCCACCAAAGTGGGCATCCGGGGGTTACCAGTGGGCATGGACGAAACCCAGATAGGAGAAACCATCAGGGCTAAGGGATTTCCACTAAAGTACGTGAAGGAAATCCCCCCACGTAGAGGAAGACCTGGAGGCCTCTACTTCGCCCAGCTGGACCACCTGAGTCTGGAGTAGTTAAACGAGCTCTATGCGATAAACGAGCTACTATATTTTATTTATTTATTTATTTAAAACTTCATATACACATGTGGTATATAGGCGGACTTAATGCCTAAGGCATTCTCTACCAGTCTACCTTGGGATGATGCAGAGATATAATGAAGTAGGTGTAATAAAAAGGTAATATGTTAATACTAAACTAAAATAACAAAAAAAAAAATTGTAGCACACCGAAATAAAATACATAAGATATAAATGGTAATAAAAAATATAATATACATATATATATATATATATATATATATATACTTATAAAATAAATTATAATAAAAATAATAAGATAATAAAAATGTATATTACTTAAGTACATATTAAAACGTCAGATGTATGTAAACTCATGAAGATATACAATTATAGACATAATCAAATAAAATATATATATTTATATATAAAATATTACTATGATGAATCTGCCAACTACTACTATATATGAAAGGAGTTACTATAGAAGCCTGGCAGAGAAGAGTTGGACCAGCTCAGTGCCACCGCTGCCAGGCCTTCGGCGCGTCGACAAACTGCTGCAGGCCAGTGAAGTGTGTCCGCTGTGGGGAAAATCATATAGCAAGTCAATGCCCTAGGGGTAGAGACGAGGAGCCGAGATGTGCCAACTGTGGTCAAAACCACACAGCGAACGATCGCCGCTGCCCTGCCGCTGAGGAGGATCGCAAGGAAGCAAGGGATCACCCTACCGGGGCTACAACCGGAAGGCCCTATGGGGGTCCCGCAGAGTCGCCACCGAACCGTAGAGATACAAGAAGACGGGTGGGCAACAATTAGAGGGAGGGGGAGGCAAACCCCCCCACCCCCGCACCACAACCACAGGAAGAGACATACGAAGCCCCAAGTAGAGCAACTACCAGGGCGACTCTGCAGCCACCCGCCAACGACGCTACGGAGAGACAGCCATCAAAGAAGAGGAAGCGGGTGCGCAGCAAGAAGAAGAAGGAGCAACTTCCTCAGGCTGCGGCAGCAACCTCTACCACCACCCCAGCGGTAACGATGGCCCATGCGCAGGTTACAAAACAGTTGACCAGCAAGGGTAGAGCTCTAGGAAGGGCTCTATCTGAAAATACAGCCCGCTCTACACATAGAGCACGCTCTACCCAAGGAAGAGCGGAAGCACCGATACCACACTCGAGGCCAGTACTAACATCGACGCAAACGAGAAGACCAACAGCTGCCCCAGATATGACAGGTGCCATCCAGAGATTGGTTGGCATCGCAATAGAAGTGGGCAGCCAAGTCCTGGCGGATATTAGAACCGGGACGGATCCGATTACCGCCATCATGCAGGCACTGACGCAACTACTGGCTCGGCAGTACGGTGGTGTCGTGTAATCCAGATAACCTGCGCCTCCTATACTGGAACCCGGACGGAATCCAGCAAAAGCTACATGAACTCCGCACTATCGCCCAACAGCAGGACATACACGAAACTAAGACCTGCGACGCGCAAAAAGCTGCCGAACTACTTTATATATAGGAGGGACGAGGTCAACGCTCAAGGAGCCGCCTACAGAGGCACGGCGGCTCTGGTTAGAAGAGACATCGTCCACCTAGAGCTGGAACCACCTCAGTACCAAACTATGCGCTCAATCGGCATAAAAATGGAAGCGGCGGGCGAGGGACTAAGGATCTACGCAGCATACCGCCCTCCAGGGACTCCATTTTGCTCCTCAGACATCCGGACAATAATGAAAGGTGAAACACCTACCATTATAGCAGGGGACCTAAACGCGACACACCCGGCATGCGGGGATTAACAACTATGACGTATTAGGTCCCGAAAAGCCGACGCACATTCCAGCCGATCACCGGAGGAGTCCGGATGTGCTGGACATCGTGCTCACTAGGAACATCAACTGCCCGATAGTGGTAGAGGTGCTGTATGATGTGAACACACAGCACCTCCCGCTATTAATTACCTTAGGCCTCAGGGCAGTGACGTCGCCTCCCAGAGCTTGTAAGACCAAGACCAACTGGAGGCTCTACCAACAACATCTACTGGAGAGACCTCCAGTTACTGCATCGATAAACACAGCGGACGACGTAGAAGCCGCTGCAATCAGAATAACCTGAACGATCACAGAAGCCCTCAACGTGGCCTCTACGATCGTACCTCTTACAAAGAAACGGGAGGAGCTACCACTAAACATTTTAATGCAATGGAAAAGAAAAAGAGCGCTAAGAAAGCTCTGGGCGCGCACGCGCTGCCCCAGAATTAAGACACAATTGAACAACATATCGGAAGAGCTGTCGGTTGCAATACAGGCCCACAGAGGAGAGGCCTGGGAGCGGCGCATATGGAAAGCAGAAGAGGAAGATGCGTCGCTCTACAAATTGAACCGGCAGCTAACTAAAGCAAGATCACCTGTTTGTGCACTAATAA